AAGAAATTTCAATAATTTACAAGATATATTGCATATTGAAAAAGATAAAAGTATGTTGCATCTTGAAATGTGAATGAAATCACTTGTCTAATAGCTTTAAACTTGAATAAATTTCAACTTTAAGTTTGGTACATACATATTGCAGTATACATTGTCATATAAATTATATATAAAAAAAAAATTCTTCACAACTTTACAATAAAGTAAAAAGGGAAAAGAGTCTGATATACCCCTCAACTTTGCCATTTGGAGCTGATATGCCCCTCGTTATGAAAGTGGCTCATCTATAGCCTTACCGTTATACAAACGGCTCACATATACCCCTACCGTTCCAAAATGAGCTCGCATATACCCTTAATTTAACAGAAGTGAAAAAAATAGTTTTAAATTTATATTTTTGACTTTTATTTTTTTTAAAAAAATTATGTAGGTGTATATATGAACTTCTAGCAAAGTTCAAGGTATATTTTAATCTTTTTTATACATAAATTATATTTTGATGTCTTTGATTATCATTATTTGAGTTTCTTATTCTTATTTTATTATTTTCTTTCGTTCCTTAATTAGTGGAAAATTTTAAAACAATTTTTTTGTGGCTATATTATAATTTAGAACTATTTTTTTGACTATATTGTTATTTAGTTTTTGTATTTGAAAAAAAAGGGTCATCTATGATAAATTTTACAAGAAAATTAGTGAAACATAAATAAATTTGACCATCAAAATAATAACTTTAAATTAGTCGTTGAAACAAAAAAAAAGTAAAAAAAAATTGTGTGTGAGGAGGATTAAATATACCATATGAGATTATATTTTTCAAAAAAATACATATTAAAAAAATAAAATTAAAATTAATTTTTTTCACTTCCGTTAGAGGAAAAGGGTATATGTGAGTCATTTGTATAATAGTAGGGGCATATATGAGCCACTTTTATAATGTGAGATATATCAGCTTTAAATGACAAAGTTAAGGGGTATATCATGCTCTTTTCCCAAGTAAAAATAAATAAGAGTTCACTAATACATACCTTGAATCTTAAAGAGGTACAACAACAAAATTAGTCTTTTAAATTAAGATAAGATCTCAGAGATGATTAAAATATTTTGGATATTATGTGTGAAAGAGAGAAATAATAATGCAAGTGTTTATTAAGGGATGAACATCTCACTTAAATATAAATAAATATAGGAAATAAATGGGAGAGAACTGGAGTGGGAAGCATTACTTTTTTTTTCTTTTTTTTGCAATTGTACCTAATAAAGTAATGATTTTAGTCTGCACACAAAATAGGGTTACCATTTACTGGAGGAGCTATCAAAACAGATTGTTGATTGATTATGCTTAGACCGCCGACTTTATCACTATCTCTTAAAAATTAAAAGGCTATTTTTGAAAGATCTTCGGTTTAAGTTAATATTTTATTCAAAAAATTAATTAATCAATTTACATTGTAAAATTAAGATAATTGTATAGTTAATTTGTTTTGTTTTCGTTTTTTCAAGTTGATATTTAATTTGATGAAAGCATCCAAGGGAACTGGTCCTCTCAAATTCGTCCTTTCCTTATACAGTTATACTGAGTCCGGAGCCTAAAGGGCAAAAAAAATTGTCAAAAAATTCCAAAAGGGCACATCACTTTTTATTCTAACCAAAAGGGCAAAATCGCTGTGTCAGCAGCGATTTTCCTCTGACAATTTTTTTTTTATTAAGGCAGCGATTTTGAAATTTTTTATTTATTTTTATTTTTATTAAAAATCGCTGCGATTTTGTAATTTTTTTAATTAAAAATCGCTGCTTTTTTCTTTAAAAAAACTAAAACGGCACATCAAAAAAAATTAACCAAAAGGGCTTCTGACAAAACAAAAATAAAAATCGCTGCATATTTTCTCAAAAAAAAATAACTTTTTTTCTTCAAAATTGCTGCTATAGCAGCGAATTTGGTTAAGAATTTTAAAAAAAAAAGTTTTTTCTTGAATTTAATATTCTTTTATTATTATTTATGACATATAATTCAATTTTCCTCATGCTTCAACAATTTTATTGAGTATACTGTCGTCTTGTTTATCATTTTTATATTATTAATAAGTAATAATAGGCATGAAAATAATAGCACTCGGCATGAAAAACGCTGCCCCTGCAGCGATGCGTAAGGAAAAAAAAAATCTGACTTAAAATTGCTGCCACAGCAAAAAAAAATAAAAAAAATAACTTACAATGGATGCGATTTTTAATAATAATTAAAAAAAAATTAACAAAATCGCTGCTGTGGCAGCGATTTTTAATAAAAAATATTTTTTGTTTTTTTTTACAAAATCGCTGCTGTGACAGCGATTTTTAATTTAAAAAAAGAAAAAAAAAATTTAGACGAAATCGCTGCTTTGCCCTTTTGGTTAGAAAAAAAAGTGATGTGCCCTTTTGGATCTTTTGACAAATTTTTTTGCCCTTTAGGCTCCGGACTCCAGTTATACTTGTAAGACCCTAAAGACATTTTATTATTCCTTATAGTATAAATTTTAGAAATCACATAATTTTAATATGAAATTACAATTTATCCCTATTTAGTTTGTAATTACATTAATCCCCGAAAAAGTAAAACAAATCGGATATATAATATGTAGCTCGGATACATTAAAAACTAGCTTGGATACATTATAAAATAAATCGGATACATAATATGTAGCTCGGATACATTAAAAATTAGCTCGGATACATTATAAAATAAACCGGATACATAATATATAGCTCGAATACATTAAAAACTAACTCGGATACATTATAAAATAATTTAGAATTAGGAGAGAAACAAGGAATTTTAGAGGTTTTTAGAAATAGAAAGGAATATTGGAAATAAAGGAAGCATAAGACGTGTATTTCAGTAATATAGGAATAGAGATGTGGAAAACTAACCTAAGACATTTCTATAAATGGTACTGTCTAGTTAAAAACCTTAGTAGGAAAAAAATTGTATGAAGGAAAAAAGTATACATATCTAGCTACCTTATTAAAAATCTTAGCAAAAATAAAATAAAAATTGGTAAAATAAAATATATATATATATATATATATATATATGGCTTTTTAGTTCAATTTGTGACTGCTGAAGAATTCTCCATTTTATCTAAATTCATCAAATTATTGTTAAAGGCAAAAATAGTACATTAGCATTTATATTCTTTTCTTTTTTGCACATTGGTTTAGTTATTACGGTCAAAAATATTTTCAATAGTTCAATATTATGTAGATATGATCCAACAAAAAACATTCAAAGTCTTTTCATATTTGGTCAAATGAAGTTAATTATTATTTTGGATATTAACACAAAATGGCAATCAACATTTATTAAACAAAAGACTTTTCAGATATGGTCAAATGTAGTTCAGAAGACTACACATAAAATCAACATCTTGTACATAATAGTCAACTGAGTCTTTTCTACATCTCTATATTATAAAATAATGTCTTCCTCGTAGTAGCAAAGGTATCAATACTTACATCTAGCAAATCAAATTCAGTGTTGAGCTTTCATGTAGTATTAATTAGTCTAAATTCTTCAAAACACCTAAGAATCATGCCTATAAAAAGAAATGATTTCAGGATGCATCAAAGAACTGTTCAACAAACGTTATTGATATTATATCTTTTTTTGAGTTATAATGAGGTGGAAGGACAAAAAAAGCTATCCAAATTAGAAGATGTGGAGTTAGAGAAACAACTAAAAATTTTGAACAAGCCTGCCGTAAAAACAGTAAAGGTATTATTTTTTCAAAAATTTTTTTTAATTGTATTTGTAAATCCCTAAAAACATTTTATTAGATAATACCACTTTTGTATTAGATAAAAACATTCATTTGTCACATGATTTTTGGAAAATGGTGAACCTTCCATTTCCTTCTTTGTGTAAACTTTTCTTGTAGTTGAAGACTAAACGGGTTAATTTGTTTTGATTTATTTGTCTTGCTTTTTTTAAATATATTTTAAAAAAAGTGTTTACCCTTTTTAGACACTATTTTATTTTATTTTTTCACATAACATGTTTAAACCACAAGATTTAAGAGCAGTTTGTTACATTTTATATAGTTTAATTTAAGATCACAAGATTCAAAACAAAATAATTTTCTGAAACTCCATGTCAAGTCAAATCAAACCAATAAATTAAAACGGATTAAGTACAATTTTTACATTTTATCTTGCAAAGTGGGGATAAGGGCATAACAATCAGAGGTGGAGCTAGGTGGAGGTTCGGGTTCGGACGAACCCCATTAGCTTTTCGGTATAGTCTGTATTTGTATTAGCAAATTAAATAAATATATATGTGTATTAACTTGTGAATCCTCCATAAAAAATTGATTGATAGTTCAGTAGTAAGGAAGAGCAATGAAAATGCTTTTCATATATTTGTTGTGGGTTCGAACACCACTATCAACAAAAAATTCTCTCTTCCTTTTCAAAGGAAGTATTGCTATGCAATATTTTTCTCTTTTCTTCTAAGATTTAGAACCCCCTAACTCCTAGTACTGACTCCGCTTCTATGACAATGGCATAGGACACACCTATCAGGACTATTTTTCGTTAACAAATAATGACATGAATGAACCTTTTCTCAAAACAAAAATAGCATAAATGAACAAAAAATTTAACGAATGTCCTAGATAAGTCTTTTTTCAAAAATTGATGGCATATTTGAGAATTTTCCCCTTTTTTAAGGCAATAGTATTACCATTTACTAATAATTGTTCTTGTGAGATTGTTTTGTGTTTAACAGGTACATCTTGTTATAACTTAGGCTACTTATTTTATTAATTTTTGATTGTTTACAGACTAAATATGGAGATACATATGACTGTGTAGATTTCTACAAACAACGTGCATTTGATCACCCGTTGTTGAAGGACCATAATTTTCATCCTAAGGCATATCTCTACTCTTTTTTCATTTCATTACCATTTTGTTCATATTGGATATAATAGTATTGACGTGCAATTAAACATCTGATTAAACAGATGAAACCTACTTTATCTAGAAGCAAGAAAGATTCAACTTCCTCATCGGCAACTAATAGGTCATCGACAATATGGTCTAAAGATGGAGGATGCCCTTTTGGAACTATTCCTGTTAAGAGAATTACAAGGGATGATCTTATAAGATTAAGACGTATACCCCAGCCAGAAGATGTCCCATTCGAAGATGAATATGATATTGTAAGATGATTTATGCCAATTTACTGTTATATATCTTGAATATTTCAAATCTAAACATAAATTAATTATCTAATGCAGAGCAACAACAATAGTGAGCCAAATGGAAGATACATATCTTCACAAGGATATAAGGTGGTACATGGCTATAAAATTCATTATCTAATTTCCATGTTTTATTTAATTGGATTTGAAGTAAAAAAGGAACAAGTTATTCTTAGGTTAATTTGGGTATTCTGTAAGATTTACTAAAAATAATTAACTTTTTTATTTAGGTTGCAATAGCTCGGGTTCCATATAATCCAAATAGCAAGTTTGCGGGAGCTGGAATGGATACTGCTTTGTACAATCCTCAAGTTAAAGGACAACAACATAGTGGATCTCGACTAAAAATTCAAAAAGGATCAGATATCTTACAAGTTGGTTGGAGAGTAAGTTTATATCAATTTTTTTATTCCATTATTCTATCGTTTTTGTGGAAGAAGGATGTGTGTTAACCATTGAATATTGTGATTTTAAGATGTATATTAGAACATTTGTTAGTAAATACTATATATTCAATAATTATAAAACAATATCTCTATTTCGTGCTTTAGGTGGACCCAACGTTATACGGAGATACTAGTACTAGGCTTTTTATACATTTTCAGGTAACTATCTTTTGTATGTCGAATTCATTAAACTAGTAGATCTTTAAGTTTATAACTATTTACTTATTTTTAAGAATTCATGTATGATATGTATCTATACTTTTAGGCTGGTAAAATTCATTGCTTCAATACACTATGTCCCGGCTTTGTACATGTAAACAAGGACATACCGCTTGATGGTTCATTCATGGAGACTATTTCACACCGTGGAGGGGACCCTTGGGGTGCTAAAATGTACATTGATCGGGTATATTTTATATTGTTTTTCTTTTTCTTATTTAGAGCTTTTATACAAATATAGGTATTATAATTAGGAGATCACATAAAAATTGTTATTGATTATTTATTTATTTTTTGAAAAAAGGACTTAGACAGTGGAAACTGGTGGTTTTTAATGACCAAAAGCTTTGTACGAGTAGGTTTCTGGCCACAAAGTCTCTTCACCGACTTGAAAAGTTTTGCAACGAACGTTGATTGGGGAGGAGTTGTATATAGTCCACCAGGTGTACCGGAACCTCCGATGGGCTCAAGCTATTTTCCTATTGATAACTCTGCCTATGATGCTTATTGTTCTGGAGTTACAATTTTCAACGAGAAAGGAAAATCAATTGAAGTAGATAAAACAATCACACATACAGATAATCCTAATATGTACAAAGTTGAATTTATACAACTTTTTGATGATGCAGATCAGATGTATTTTGTTCTTTATGGGGGACCGGGTGAAAGTACACATGTTTAGTAGAAATAAAATCTTCCAAATCATGAAAAAAGTAGAAGAGAATTTTTCTATATAGACCTTTAATTTGAATGTTATGTTGCCTTTCAAAGAATTGCAAAGGGAAAAATAAATAAATTCTCTTTATTTTTTTTTTCTCACTACATACATAGAAAGTGCTATCAATTTTGAGAAATATAATTGAAATGTGCAAGTACTTGAAAAAAAAGTAATGCTTCTCACTCCAGTTCTCTCCCATTTATTTCCTACACTAGATAATGTTGCCCGTGCTATGCACGGGCCCAATAATATAAATGGTATATTTTGGGGCTAATAACCGAGTTTTTGAAGCGATTGTTTGCGTGGATAAAGGAATAAGTTTTTTTATCACAAACCTGTACTTTCTTTGACGCTATTGAAGGCATAATAAGACTATCCACATACAACATTTTTGAAATATTTTATGTTGTCAATTATCATGATTTATAGTATTTTTACGATAGATTCACTTCAAGAATCAGTGGAATTTTTTGTATTTTTTTCAAAACATATTTTATATTGTCAATT